TTTTTTTTTTTTTTTTTTTTTAAATAAATGCTTCGCATCAAATAATATTTATAAAGTGAGAAAGTGAAAGAGATTCTTGCTTGAATTTACAGATACTTTGCAGTAACATAATTGCAGTTGTTGAGACTTCTGATATGTCCTATTAAGCATCGACGCCTCCACAGTAGCGTGGCACGTTAAATGTCGTTTGTTCAATGAGTTCACTGATTTTACTGTTGATGTCTTACCGCCCTCGGATTTGTTAACAACTCAAGATTGAAAGAGATCGCTGTAATTCACGAAGAAATCCTGTACTGTATTAATAGCTGCCATTTACTTATTGAGCAAGTTCCTTTCGAGAATAGTTATATAAGTAGAAATTTTTCTATTTGAATGTAGTGCTCTTAAAGATATAAATTTATATAAATAATAGTCTAATAATACATATATGTAAAATACAAATAAATATATAAAATGTACATAATAATAATAGTAATATGTAGCACTATATATATATATTATCATACATATTGTGTCTTAAAAAATGTCCAGTCTACTTATGAATGTTGGAATATTTAAAGATTTTGATAGACATGAACAGACAAAAAGATTTTTGATGTACATGAACATTTTCGAATGTATGTAAAAATTTTAATTATTATTAAATAACTATTAATGTTAACTAAAGAAATATTGACAGAAAATTTTTATACTTTACATGTATTAATGTATGTACATATTGTAAACAAATTTCTATCTATTCAAGTTGTCTAAGAGTTATCTAAAATTTAATCATTAAAAATCATTGAAAATTGCTACCAATAAATGTTAGTGTACACTGTTTCAGATTCCTTGGGAACTCAATGAAATAGATTTTCGTTTAAAAGATGAAATATTCTCTTAGTTTGAGAAGGAGAGCAACCCACGCCTGCGCTCTATTAGGATCCAGAAAACACATCTGTACCAGTAAATTCGGTGGTCCAGTTAACCGATCGGCTAGTTGCTTCGCGAATTCCGCGAGACAGGTCTCGATCACGATTTTCATTCCTTTGGTTTCTCGTAAAAACTAACTGTATGTAAATCGTTCAAATCGGCGACCTAAGCTTTTTTTAACATTCAACTGCGGCAGTTTATATTTTTGCAATATCTCTCTTATTTTTCATTGTAGTGAAAATTTTACTGTGAAAGTTAGAACGTCAGACATTCCTTAGTACAATTAAGAATTTAATCACTATAATTCATAGTTGAAATTTTACAAATCTTTCTTCTTATTCTTTTTATTTTAGTTTCTTTGATACAAATTTGGTAAATTTGTAACTGTTTTAGATCATAGAATTGTAATTTTCATGCAAGTTTCATAATTATTTAAAAATTCGAATGATTTCTCGTAATTTATCGTATTATAAATTTTCTTTTATTTTCTTGAGTTTTATAAGTTTGAATTTCGAAATAACTTTTCATAAAATCTATGAATGAAAGCTTATACTGTATTTTATTGTATATTTTCTATACATCGGTTTTAGTCATTTAGTCTTAAAACTTTTTTCAAATTCCAAAAACAAAATTAAAAAATCAGTATCAGTATTGTAATTTCACGTTCTAATTTCATCCGCTTGCAAAGATTCTTCTTAAAATATTAGAAGTTCCTCTATTTATCGAAACACGAAAATTGAAGTAGAGCAATAATAAAATATTTAATGTATTATAATATAAATATTTAATAACATGTTAAATCAAATTATAATATAGTAACAATAATAATAATAATATATTAAATTAAATTATAAATATTATATTAGATTATATTAAATTATAAATATATATTAAATTAAATTATAAATATTATATTAGTAATTCAATAATACTTTAACATTAATTTAATACTATTAATTATAATGCTATATAACATAAATATTTTGTAGATGTTCCTGTAAAAGATGAAAGTGGAAACATGATTTACAAAACAATATGTAATTTACAAGGAAAACAATGAAACTGTATCAACAAAGGTGTGTAATTTAAAGGTGTGAAATAACAATATCTGGTATTGTGTTTGAAGTGAAACTTCAAAATGTATTTATAATTTATTGTAGATAATTTCCAGTGTACTGTGTCCAAACGTTTCACCCGAATGGATCATTTTTTCAAAGATAAAAAGAATGAGGATAGCTAGAAGAAGAAAACTAGTAGATTAGAAGCGTGATTTATTGAAAGAAATGTGACTCGAATGAATCGAAATAAGATTTTCTGTATAACGTGCTTCTGTTTGTCTGGTGTTCCATAAATGATTCGCATCAATGAACTCAGAACCGGCAGCGTCTACTTCCTACGAAGGTAAGCGCTCTTTCTGTTGATTTTAGGTAAAGATCTGCTTGAATAGAAGGATTGTGCTGACGATAACAACACTGTTGAAACTGCTGATAAAACTGTGAATTAATTCGTTCATTCACTTTTGCTATTTTCTTTTTTTTTTTTTTTTAATGATGTGCTGAACAGTAAAATCACACATTATACATTATATAATATAACATTTACAACTGAGGATTTTTATTTCCGCATAATTGGAAATGGAACTTAAATTTGTTCCTTCTGTCAGTTATTATAATAAATATTCTAATTTGTCTGTAAAAAGTTGTATAAGTATAAGAAATATTGTAAAAAGTTCTTCATTCTGTATAGCTTTGCACGTTATCGCCATTTTGTATATTTTTGGACTCACAAATTTTCCATGAATGCATAAATGTTTTCAGTTTTATACACAATTGCGAAACTTTTATATGTTTATATAAGAAAATATATCATATAAAGCAAAGTATAGCTGCTTTCAATAATATCTAGTACATAAAATAATTTTTCGACCAAAATTCTATTTCTTTTTAATTATATATTCTGAAATATAAAATATAAATATAAAATTTAATATAAATTTACACGAAAATTATTATTTTGAATATTTTAACTAAATTATACGTTTTTATATCGTGATTGGAATAATTGTCAATTATTTCTAATGACTGTTGTATCATGAGAAAGATTGTCTTTTACATTAATTCAAGTATGTAAATAGTTTTTTTTTTTCTTCAGAAATAATCAATTGTTATTCAACTAATAGGTCGTCTGAAGAATAGAAAATTAATTTAAAATTTATTTATTTTAAAATGACATTTTAATGTTACATAAGTTGGCTAAGTTCTCGATTGAATTTAAAAATTAAAATAGGTTTGTTCTCCCTAATATATTTGGAATGAATCTGTGATTAATATCAGAGATATTAATTTCAAAACATTGGCAAAAATATAAACCAAATCGAATGGAAAGTAAATTCAACTGATGAATTAAAACTTGAAATAGCATCAACTTTAATTTCCAAACATTGAATGTTCATCGAATGAATCACATCTAGTGAAGAAACAATTAATCGTTATGGAATTTTCAATAGAGTAAACATTAAACGACTATCAAGTTCTAATAAACGAAATCGATTTAGATTCAAATCACTAGGTATATAATCAATTTCACGACTATTAAATTCAAAATATTCATAAAATCAATGTCACTGATGTCCAAATTCCTAGAAAAGATGCCTCAACTGAATCGAATTAAAAAGATTCACTTGGATTTTGTGATCTCTCACGGACGCGAATTCGATGGAAGATATGTGGAAGCGAAGTTTACTCTCGGTTGAAAGAGTTTATCGTCTCGAGTGGCGAAAATAGATT